TAGTCTGTACTATAGTGTTGTTACTGTTTTATTAAGGATTTATTTCCCACCCTTAAGGTGGCTAGAGAACAACACTATGGTACAGACTACCTAGCTATGAACAAGTAAGCTAAACCATTTGATCTATGTGTAATCTAACACCCTGATATCCMAGTAGAACACAGGGACCCTTTTCCCGCTATCGAATTAATGATTTTAATAATAATCAAAATCTTTCAATGTTGAAGAAGCAGAAGAGGAAGCCAAATAAAATATGTGMAATTAATTTGTGCACATTTTTGAAGCGCGAGTGGATCCCGTGGAATCACTCTCAGTGAAGGGAATTAAGAAGCAGGCACAGTCCTCAAAAGTGAACTTTTTAGTCTGATTGACAACTGATCTATATGAACACGATTGTTAAGCTTACTTTTTGTTTTATGWAGAATTTCTCACGAATGTAGAAGCCAACTGCACCTCCCGTGAAACTCCCAATGACAATAACAGCTACCTTGTGAGATATTCCAGCTTTTTGTCCAAACATCTTCTAAACGTTACTTGAAAAAAGATATTCCGCTGACCAAGTTGAGGACACAGGGATCCCGACAAATATGCAGCGTTTTCTAGTAGAGTCAGTAGAGTTACTTTTTATTCGGACTAGCCGAAGGCTAGGTCSACTTGAGTTTTACCTTTCAGTCAATCTATCTATGTATCATGTCGCGTTTGGACTACTGGAAGTTAAGAACTTAATAATTAACTATTGGGTTGGCTGTGTTATTACATGACCGGAAGCTCAATCGTATATATGTACGAATATCGTTAGTAAACGTTATATGCTACTTGCGCTTTTATAAGAACAGTTTTTTATATGATAAAAAAACTGTTGGTTTACAAATGCGGTATCTGTGATCTCATCGGAATGCATCATTCTAGGCATCAGAAGTACACACATGTGCGGATCGCATGGAGCTTCGAGTAGTATGCTTACGGAACTAAATTCTAGCGTTAGACAGTCTTGTTTGGGCAAAGATTTCAAATTAGAACAAGAAACTTTGTTTATCAATAACAAAAAGGCGACTTTGATTATTTTATAGGTATCTTTTATTTTTCAAAGCATTTATTTTCTTGGCCTGCTGAAAGGTAAACAATTTGAATTAAAAACGAATTAGATATCATGATATCACTTAGCGACATTTAGTCTACCACGTTTGGTTTTATCAGTTCAGTTGCAAGGTAAATACACTCTGCGCAGGGTATTAATTACATGACCTTTTAGTTCAAATTTATATTTCTATCTCTATATCTATTTCTATATTATATCTTTTTCATTCGATTTCCAAAATCTCATATTCATAAAGGGACTGGTGACGAGTCAGAATCTCGTTGTTTGAAACATTCMTGTGTCATGTTTTTAATATGAGAAGTCATTTTCTGGGGAAAAAATTCAAATAAAACATTTTGATGGTTAACCGTAATTATGATTAAGCTGAAAATGTCATCGTTTAGAAAACTTCAAATTATTTCAATAAATGATCCAAAAATCAAGAGACAAAGAAGYCAAATGGAAATGACTGGGATATTGTAACATTAAACAACTGTCGTGATGCAAGGTGTAAAGTCGGTGTGAACTTATTCCTGTAATTGGTGCGCCAGTTTCTTTTTTGCTAAACTGAGCGTTATCTGACTGGCGCTTTTCCAAATCATTGGACAGTGAAAAAAAGACAGACCTTTTACACAGTTTTTCTTTAATTTTGTTTAGTATTAGTTTTTCACTTTATCTCTTTCGTTTTACGCCTTTCGTTTTCATTTTTTTTGTGTCCTTCCGTAGTATTCTTTTGTTGTTGTTGTTTTTTCTTTTTTTGGACGCTTACTTGTTTTTCTATTCGAGTGTCTTTGCATTTTGTCTTTGATAGATTTCGGTATTGTTTTCACATTTTAACTTTAATTTACCAACCTTACCTGCAGGATCGATTAGTTTATCTTGATGCAATCTGATTAGTTGTCCCAGCCTCCAATAAACACCTTTATTTCAGCTTATCAAGTAAGTATCTAATTATATTACACACGACGCCTAGATCCTTATTACAAAGCATCGTTTCAATTTCCTTTTACACAGCTAGACTAATGATGAGCCTCTGCACATCTTATCATCCTAAAAGTTATGATTGAAGAACTGATATGTAATATTTCAAATACTACCCAATTTAGGAGTACCCGTACTATTATAGTAAGGCGTCTGTGAAAACCGCAATTGATTTTGTCGTTTTCAACTGGAATTTTTATGGATTGCCTAGATCACTGCCTATTTTTATGGATTGCCTAGATCACTGCCTATTTTTATGCCCTTTATTCAAGTTATTATTATCGCCGGAGTATTGCTAATCGATATACGCCTTGATGAGAGTGTAGCCTGATGTGTAGATTCCTACGATTCCCGCCGAGATTCCAAATACGATTATGCTAACATCGAATGCAATCTGCCAGAGCTTTAGTTCCCTTTTAAATAACGTTAAATGGAAAAGTGCAGGAAACACAAAAATTAGAAATGTCCCTGTAAAATTTCCTATGAATGACATTAAAAGGGCAAAATGAGGAATTAGTAGGGCTGAAACTAACGTTATCATTACTAAACCTACACGTAAGAGGATGAGAAAACATATTTGGTAATTATTGGAATCAGTTAGGCAGCATTTAGATAGAACGGATGTCGTAATACAATGAATTACTGTAAACATAGGAAATGCGTAGGAAAACAGCACATTGATCACCAGCAGAACACACCCCGTCGTGCGGAATACACCTGTAGGGAGATTGTTCGTGATTACTTCTTGGGTTTTGGCTGAAAATGATAGATATGCCGTCATGGAGAAGAGTATCTTGGTGACAGCCGCAACGAAGAAAGTCACGTTCATGATCAATGGAAATTTGGATTTGTTTTTTAAGCTTTCTTCGATACCTGGTAATAAAGGATGCGCGGCATAGCTAAAGAGAACGATCCCAATTCCTACTGGAAACGTTTTTACATTACAAATATCAATCGATTCAATATCCCATCGATCACTAACATGAATCCCAAATACGGTAACAGCTGTTATTGTTGATAAGAGAGCTACTGCACTAAACAAACTAAACCATGCCACATGTGAAAGGTGCTGAAGAAATACTGTTGGCAATACAACCAGAGTGCTAATGGCAATCCATCCTCGTTCACTTATCGGATAACTTGGGAAGGTGTGAATGAGAAGTGTACCACTTAGCACCAAATAAAGCGTAGACACAAACATAAGCTCAAGAATTTGAACCACAACTACAATCTTACCACCAAAACGTGGAAAGCAAGCGTGKCCAATGTCCTCATACGTCTTACGTACACGTATCGGTTTTTTGACGGCGTTTTCTCCTTCAGTGACATCCTTGTCGCAGGTTTCTTTTTTAGTTTCATAAAGACAAGTTATAATAATTTGACCKGTGTAGTTTGATATGATGGCTAATAGCGCCAATCCCACCAATACTACAACTCCCCCTTCTTTGACAGCATATGGTAAACCAAGAATTCCCGTTCCCTCTACCATGTTGAACAGGTTCCATGCTGCATGACAAGAGCTGCTCTTACTCTCGGAGCTTKCTTGTTCATGGCATGAATCTGGGTCTTCAGTATCTGTATCATTACCACTAGTATTTGGGACACTCTGATACTTCRTACTCATTGCTATACTATCTCTATACCAAAAATTCACGCCGGTTGATCCACTTCTTTGCGAATATTGAGGCAGTCTTAAAACAGCTGTACACCGGTCGTTTTTCAGTTTGCCTTGGGAGATCGAGAGGTTCTTTGATCAGTRATACTGGCTGTGAATCGATTTACTTTGATTTGCTGCAGTTTAGAGACGCCCACAAATAAGAATAATAGAGCATATGGACTKCCGCCTAGACTCCCARAGATGAGCTTACTGGACACCGCCGGTTGGTTTAAAAACAGGACCAACGGTTATGATTGACGGAAAATCGTCTGAGCTGGTCGCCTAGCAATGACATTGCTCTTGATTATCTTAAATCGAAATATTCCTTTTTTTCGATTGCTCGATGGGTGGAAAGGAAGCCGAATGAGTCAAGATATCACTAACGACCTTGCAGATGATACGAGCTTTATTTGCTTAACGGCATCATCAGTACGTATCTGTTTTCCATTGGTCAAGGATTTTCGCACCATTTAACTGTATGGTAAAATGTTCTCGTATAGTTGTTGATCGACTGGTGTTTTCATCAGAGCAACAAGCTGAAGATTTCCGTAGAGCCTTGCAAATAGCGACTGACAAAATAGTGCAAATCAATGCCAATTCCCTTGTTGTTGTTTTTTGCCTCGTCAACTATTTGTTTCAGGGATTAAAGTCGGCATTCTCTATATAAAGCATACTGTTGAAGATAGGAAGTACTGTATTACTCTTCGTACCAAACATTGTCGACAATAGCGTAAAATAACAGATCAAAAACTTTGTATAAAGTATTTCATAGTAGCCCTAAAGATCGAATATCTCGTATATCACTGGAAAAATYACGCGCTTTAAAGGTTGTAAATTTGATRGAAATATTAAAAGGCAGCATTTTATTCAATTTCTATTTTAAAAATGTAAAAACAATGTTTTACGGTGCCTTGCTATACGGTTTATTTACAAGAGTGGGACAATATGGAGACCATCTGAACATTGGTCTGATCAACACAATGATATTTAGATGCAGCCTCACGTGCGCTTCATTTCTCTTGGAGCCACTTCCAAAATCAATCGTAGCCTTTGCAAAGTTGCCGCGATCGAGAACAGTTGACAAAAAACACTTAAAAAACCTTCCTCACTTTRCCGGGGGGAGGACGAAAGAGTACCTTTATTGAGGTATACAGGCTCAAAAAACTGAAGAAAATTTATCAAAATTGGATATCAATCAATTTAATTCGCATTATTTTGATCTCTCTAATTCAATTTCTTTCCGCGTCTGTGTTTTTTAATGTTCTSTTCCTTTGTTTTCTTATTACGATTTTTATTCTTGACGTTGGCACTAGCATAATAGTGCKCTCCAACCTTCTTTTTGTTTGTAGTCATTCGAGTTTTCTACGAAAGAAATATGACATTTGTTATTACTGTTTCGTTCCTTGTGCAGTTTGTTCGCTTCAGTGTTTTGTCTGGGAACAATAATTGGAAACAGACAAAGAGACTAAACATGGTATCGTACATACCTTTGATTTCGGCGATTCCTCGTGTTCTTCGTCGTCCTTTCGTTTTCTAGCGTTTCTTTTCTTGGATTTCTGACTTTCTGCGTTAAGAAAGTAAATACTATATCAAACCAGAGCGAGCATACTTTGAATCCAATAAAAAAYATTCTTTACTTCGTTTTCTAGTTATAAGGATTCGACGTACGAATCGGTGACGTCATGKCAATGGAAAGAATCAGTTTTATTCAAACTTAGTTAAAACATAAAATACCTCGTTTACTTTTTGACATGCTTGGAGTCGTGACGGTTTGTGATGTCGGTACAGACAAACTTTGATCCTCGTCTTCTAACGCCTCGACGCAAGCAACATAAGGGCTCATTGATATTGAGTATCTCTTGTTGGTATTTGCGGTCCAGTTTTTCAAGGGTGTAACCATCGAATCTGGAAATAAACACGTCAGTATAATTTGAATCGATCGAGTATTTTGMACTCTTATGGAAATAATCGCATTGCTCAGAAACAGTCTCAAATATCAGATTATAAGGAAACAGTTCGTAAAAACAGTCTAACTACCTTCTTCCTCATCATTCTCATGCGAGCTTTCATCTTCACTAACATGTTCGCCATCATCTATTGCCCTCTGTAGTTCTTCCCAATCACCAAGGTCAACACTTTCTTCATTGTTTTCACCGCTTTTGTTAGAAACATTAATCASTGGAACTCGGCTGAAAACAAACAAATTTCTCTAAAATCTTCTCGATTTGACATTGGTGTAAAGAGAATACTAAAAGCAAACTCTTATCGTCTTGCAAGAAAATCTTCCCTCTCTCTATTAAACATCTAAACATAAAACATTGCATTTGGAAAAAAAGTGAACAAAAGCAAAGAAATCACCTTTTCCCCTTTTCTACGGGATTTAATGCGTCACAGCTYCTATTGCCTCTTCTTTCTCCTTTATTTTCCATGTCATTATTGTTAACACAGCTATTTTCGACACTTTTTGTACTGCGTACATATAACTCATCTTCGCTGTCTCCTTCCTTATCTTCCGATTCCTCTTCCGATTCCTCCTCCGATTCCCCCTCATCCACTTCTTCATCTTCTCTCTCCTCTTTTCTTCCWTGGTAGTCGTCTTTTTCGTACGCTTCGTCATCTTTCCCTTCTAAATCATCGAGCCCTTGTTTCTCATCGTCTTCTTCTGCCCCTTCAYTCTCTTCTAAATCGCTGTTTGCCGCGTCCTCTTCTTCCTCATCATTCTCCGCGTCTTCATTTTCATCATTGTCATTAAGCACGRTGTCATCCCTATGAACGTCTAGTGGTTTAACGTCATCGCCTTCAAACTCTGGTGCTACRGTAATAGCACTGAAGTCCTGCTGAACATGAAACTGTGTACTCGTCTCAGTGGATCCATTGCTGTTTCTGTTTCCTTCAGCAGTTGCCAAGATAGTTTCGCTTCTAACTTCGATGTCCTACAACGAAAAAAAAAAAATGCTCCCTGTAAGTATTGTCCATGCAGAGGATAATAATATTATCAACCTCAGAAATAAATACAATAAGTCAAGACAAGAATGAAAGAGTTTTAGTTACCTCTTTATCCTGATTAGTAGAGGAAGCTTTGACAAAACTGTTAGAGAGTGGGGGTATTCGAGATACTTCTGTTTTCTTGTTCTCTTTCAATGCCTTTTTATCGTCTCCATCCTAAA